ATGACACTGATCCGTTGGTGATTTCCTCATAGATTTGCTCTGTGAAACATTTAAGAGAGTATAAGGGAGGCAGTAGGCCAGAGAAAGTTCCTCAGTGAGATAGAAGAGCTGGGTTGCTGAGGAGCTCTGCAGACTGTGGCACAGTTTATGTAACACACATAACAGGGCAGGGAATCTAACACAAAGCCATTAAAACCCGGAGGTACCTCCTTCATCCATTCACCTCTCCATCTCCAACCAGTGGGCAAAAACATTGTCTTTGTGAGCTATTCATCAGGGTCCTGTGTTTGGTTGCACATCAGATGAATTATTGTTTTTTTTTAGTATAGATGATTATCTGTTGACTTGTACATGTATCTGAGGTACCATGCAAAATATGTTGTTCTTTGATGTGGATTTGACTACACATGACTATTAATGCACCATCTCCTCGGTTGACTGGAGGAGTCATATATTTGGGACTGTACTGTCCAAGCAGGACAGGAGACAGACATACATTGACTCAATTATTTCCTATTTAGAGATCTTATGGACACAAATGTTCTGTTACAAATGAGTATATTCATTTAGAGAACTATACAACAAAGTGTTTACCTGTTATTGGGTTTTTAATTTCTGTTTTAGTGAATTTTAGGATCTATTGTCATATTATGTTGTAGTATGAAAGAATCATCTAAAAGTTATTTTAATTTCTTCGTTAATAATGTTGATTTTCATCTTGTTGTAATTTTTTATAATCCAGATTCTATTTGCTTATCAATGTTGTTTCATTAAATGTCCCATGTTTTTACTTGATGGGTTGGAATATATATTTATGGTTTCAAGAGCAAAAAACATCTCAGTGTAGTATTATATGTCCTCTCTCAGGTTCAGTGAACCAATCAGAGGTGAGTAGGCCCCAAGCCTCCATTCTGATCCAGTAAAAATATAGAAGATTGTAGGTAAAACCCTCAAGATTTTTTCAACACTGGCGTTTTATCTGCAAGGGAAAATGTTCAACTGGCCTTCACAAATCACTCTGCAATAGATATAGGTATTTACTGGGTCCAGCTCTGATTGGTGTCAATATAAATATACATACTTACTAAATGTCATCACTTTTCCTGTTGAAATGACCAGAGATAAGTTTTAAAATTACAGAAACATTGCACTGTAAGTGTATGTAATGACATGTGTCCTCAGTGAGAAAGGAAAGGTAAACTTGTGTTGCAGTATTTTTTAATAGAGAATCTACCTGTTTAAGAAACTATCTATACACTGATTTTGGTGAAAAATTTTTATCAGAGAAAGCATGTTCTACAAAGTTGGAGGGTGGGTCCAGCTGCGTGGGGCTTAGATATGGCTTATTGCAATGACTGCTTTGTTGTGACATCACGAAGTCCTGACAGCTGATTTGAAGGCTCAGTTTCTGAATACAGGCTGTGTGCATTTCTCTGTGGGCTGAGGCTTTGATACTTTCAGAGTATTAATATAGAACCTGGAGCTGCTTTATAATCACACTACACATGGACATCTACCTTTATAGACCTTATACATGTGTCTTTTTTTCCTGCTTTATAGTGATATATTATTATGATCATTTCAACAACATGACAAAAAAAAAAAAAAGAATAAAGGTTAAGTCCATACATGCATCATTCTGCAGCTTGCTGTGTTAACTTTCCCCTCAGTGTGTAGACAAAGAGCCTAAACCACCAACAGTCACATGGCTGCATTCACTGTAAAGCCCTATGGTGCATATCTTTTTATGTAATCTTCAGTCACACAGTGAGATGTAACATGAGACAAACTTGTCCCCCATTGACTGACGTCTCCCTTTATTGACTGAGCCAAAAGATTATTTACTTTGCTTGTCTTAATCTTGTGTGAGATGTGAGCTCAACTCAACTCAAATATTCCCTCTGTTATCTACATTTGTACTGTATTACTTAAACTGCCTTGCTGTTGCATAACATGGGCTTGAGATCTTGATGAAAATTATTACATAAATTGATCTTATAAAGTTAGTAAGGATCAAAACAGACACCACTTTCCCCTGGGAGACAAATTTGGTACTGTGAGGTGTTGTGGATGTTTCCTGAAAGATTAGAATAAATCACTTCATTTTAGTGGAATTACCCTCCTGTAGCCTCTGGGCTGAAACAACAGCATCAGTGGAGGATATTAGATCATTTTTATCACTTCATTTTGTGAGAATACTAACCATCTCTGCACGATTAACAAAGTGCACAGAACTTCACTGTTTGCACCCAAACAGGCCTCTAGGTTACAATTCTGCAAATACACAGAAGCTCACAGGTTTAGGCATTCCTTTGTATACATAACCGCATTTGCAGAATAAGTCAGATTCAAGAGAATGGTATTTTAATGAAAGATTAACTTTTGGTCATGCATTTTAACCCTTCTGAGCTCCTCTAGTCTTCAGCAATTGCTGCTGCTTGTGGAATGGAGAATGCACCTCATTATATGCACAAACTGTACTTCACATTTTAGCATTAAAAAGTCATGACAAAGAATGTGAAACTTGCAACAGGAAACTAGCCTGACTCAAAGCAGCACTTGTCAGAAATGGCTGTGGCACTTATATTATTAGATTGCAAAAGACGGAACCAAGATAAAGTTTTCAACTCAAGTTAAGTCTGGACAAAAACAAATGACAGATTGAAAAGAGCAGTTGAGAAAGCAGCACTATCAAACCCGATAAATTGAGATGAGTTCACAAGTGCTTTATACACTTGGCCGGTTATAGCCTCTTGTGGACCCAAAACTTCAAAGTCAAGAGGGCTAACCATTACACCATGGAACCACAACAAAACAATGACGGGAAAGACCTAGGAGGACTTGGTGACAGGTGAATGCCAGGCTAAACCTGGTCCCACCACAAGCTGCCTTGGACAAGAGGTAGAAATGGGATTAATATTAATCAATCCTTTTTAAGAAGTAAATTCAGCATACAAGCACTGTGCCAACACTATCTTCATAATCAACAATCTCTTCTACCAGTGCATCAAGACATAGTCAGGCTTCACTGAGGTTTGAATTTGGGTCCAGCATGCTAACCATTACACCATGGAACCACCTCAAACCATGTTGTAATGGTAAGTGACAAAAATTGCAGTCAGTCTTGCTCATGGTGGAATCACGATGTCTGTAGACCTCTTCACCATGTTGCCACTGCACATGAGACCTGGTTTACCAGCCTGACTGTCGTCTTGTTACATAATCCACAAACCAACACGCGAAGGAGGGCTCCATTGCAATCGTTTCAAAACTGTCCTAAAAAATGTGAGAGGTGGATGGTGTTAAATTCACCTGAAAACATAGTCCTCATGTGAGCAGCTGGCTTATCCAAGTAAGAATACACTCAGTGATGCATGTAATGGATGGCAGCATCCACTCCCTTGATGTAAGAACCAGAACCAGTAGTCATTTATCTCAGGCAGACAATGCGCTTTCGGTACCAGAAGTTGATAATCTGATCAGATACCCTCTCTGCTTTAGACTGAAGATCCTTTGTCAGGTGGATGTAGGCTGCAGCTGCATGGTTGCTTGTCTGTAAATCTACATCACATAGGGTTCAACCAAGATTTGAACTTGGATAACTGGATTCAAACTGGTCTAAAGCTACACTAAAGCCACTGAACCACAACCTTCCCCTGGATAAAATGTAGTGTGAATACAGTCTTACATGTTATGGAGAGAAACCCAACTCTAAGCACAAGGAACAAGTTCTCCTATCTGTACACCAGGTCAAAACCAGGTTCCACCGAGATTTGAACTCGGATCACTGGATTCAAAGTCCAGAGTGCTAACCATTACACCATGGAACCTCTGAAGTCCACCTGAGAATACAGTAAGACAAATCCCAGTATAGTCTTGGTCATGGTGGAATCAGGATGCGTTTAGACCTCCTTTCTATGTGACAACCTAGGATGAAGTGATCATATTTTTTGCGGTAACGCCTAGCCCTAACTCAGAGGTGTATATAAACATTGCCTTAAAGAAGGTAAACAGGAACTGAGCCAGAAGATTTTCACACAAGTCCCAAGTGCTAGTCACCACTGTCTTGTCACATAATTCATAAATGAGCAAGTGAAGGAGTGCTCCATCACCATCCCTTGTCCTTAAGAATGGGAGGGTTGGATGGTGTTAAGAGCACCTGAAAAACTGAGTTGAGCATGTAAAGGAAGACAGCATCCACTTGCTTGATGTGAGAACCACAAGCAGATATTTTGTCTATCAGATAGCCTTGTCAGGGGGCCCTCGGCTGGAGGGTTACCTATGCATGGACTAGATTAGGTTCCACCGAGATTTGAACTCGGATCACTGGATTCAAAGTCCAGAGTGCTAACCATTACACCATGGAACCACATATAAAGAGCTGGGAGAATTTGTTAGTTGGCAGACGAATCTGCGCTGCCTTGCAAAACCTGCTCTCACCACAACCTGCTCCTGGACAAAAAGTAGAAACGGGATGGATTTTAATACTTAGAAAGAAGTTAGTGCAAGCACTATGTCTCTGCTTGTGTGCCATCTCTGAGTCATGAGCTGAGTTACATCAGTGATGGAGTTGCAGCCAGTTGCAGTCGGGAAGAAATGAGTGGAAGTGGAGCCAAGGACAACCATAGTGATGGTGAATTGACTAGTGGAAAACATTTCATACAGTGTAGATGTGTAATGTGAATCCCTTTTCTTCATGAAAACCTTCAAGAAAACAGTTCGTGGTCAGTGTTGGTAAGGTATGTTACTCAATTTTTTATGTTAATAAAAATAAAAATACTAATAGTGATCAATATAGAAAGGTATATTATGATCTCTTCTTGTGCCATATCATAACTAAGAGTTTGCCCTAACCCAGAGTTAAAGCAGCAGCCCTTGCCTTGTTGTAAGATTCTCTTATCTCATGCACCACACTATAAGTAGTGTTAGATCCCTTTCTGTTTGTCAGGTGGACTTGAACTACATCTATATGATTATTATCTGTTTATCAATGTGATACTAGGTTCCACCAAGATTTGAACTCAGATTGCTGGATTCAAAGTCCAGAGTGCTGGATTCCAAGTCCAGAGTGCTAACCATTACACCATGGAACCACATGCAAAGGATGTCAAGAAAATCCTTTACATTGACCCAGGAGGTGCCAGAACAAACGATGGGTTGCAGGTAAACCTGAGCTGCTGAGCTAAACCTGCCCCTGGACAACTAGTAGAAAGGGGATGGATTTTAATGCTTGTTGACAAGTAAGTTTTACATAGAATTTATGAGGGGAGTTACAAGAGTGATGGCTGCACACAAGTTCTTTACACTGTATTTGCAAGATGTGTTTTGTCAAGGTATATATTCTTACATGTTATGTAGAGACAACAACAACTTTCTGTATGATGAGAAAGTTCTGTATACCTGGTCAAAATCAGGAGTCCAGAGTGCTAACCATTACACCATGGAATCCCCCAAAGGGCATATATAGAATGCAGAGTGACACACCTCCCAGTTAGTCACAGTCATGGTAGAACCAGGATGTCTGTAGACCTCTTTTCAATGTGACAACCTAGGATGAAGTGATCCCCTTGTTTTGCTGTAATGTCAAGCTCTAACTCAGAGTTGTATTTTAAGACTGTCATAAGCATGATAAAAACAGGAACTGAGCCAGAACATTTTCACATGAGGCTCCAGTGCTGGTCACCCAACTCATGATCATCAATCACTTCGGCGGAGCTGGGACAAATTGTTGGTTGCAGGTAAAGCTGGAGCTGCCTAGCTAAACCAGCTTCCACTAGAATCTACCCCTGGACAAGTGGTAGAACGGGGATGAACCTTAATTCTTCTTGAAAAATTAGTTCTGCACACAAGCAGTTTGTTACTCCTTGTGTACCCTGTTTGAGTTATGAGGGGAGTTGATGAAACTCAGACAAGGCTCTGGCTCCTAAAGAGGACAACTCATACCCACTGGTTTAGGTGTGTAGATGACACCTAGGTCAAAATGAAGCCCATGAAGTAGAAGATTTTACAGAACACATTAACTCAGTGGATGGAAACAGTTTACCCAGGAGGACACCAAAGACAGGTTGCTGTTCCAACATTATATTAGGTTCCACCAAGATTTGAACTTTTGTATTTTTCCCTTTTAGTTGCATCACACAAATGTTGCCATCAGTCCTCATCACCATACATATACTGGTATCTACTTGGGGGTCGCACTGGCATTTTCTTCTTGCAAAGTTTAGATATTTCTATGAAAACGAAAAATAGGCTTATTTATCTGCAGTTCAGTTTAGTTTCATTTAGTTTTGCATTCTTCATTGTAGATTTATTCTAAGAATTATTTTTTCACTGCTAGTTTTAGTTTTAGTCTTAGTTTTAGTTAACTATAATAACCCTGATCTTAACACTCACCCCAGAACATGAGTGCACTTTCTACGGAACGTGTTACTGTAGTTCTGCTCTTTAAACTACAAAGCAGAACAGCAGCTACATTTTTACAGTTGTTTTGTTTTGCTGAGAGGCAAGGCAAGGCAATTTATTTGTATAGCCCGTTTTTACAAACAGTTTGTTTCAAAGGGCTTTACACAGCATTATGACAACATCCTCTGCCCTTAGACCCTCACATCGACTGAGGAAAAACTCCCAAGAAAACCCTTTAACAGGGGAAAATGGAGAAACCTCAGGGTGAGCAACAGAGGAGGGATCCCTCACCCAGGACGGGCAGACGTGCAATAGATGTTGTATACAGACAAGAAAACAATTTACAACATGAAATATGGAAAACATGGAAATGGAATCAGTCAGTTAACGAGAAACGAAAAATGATGAAGGAAGCTCCTGGTGGGCAGGGAGAGAAGGCCAGCTTAATGGGACTACTGGACAGCAGACTGGGTCATGAGCAGGGAGTGCAGGCCGGTTTGACAGCAGGAGAAAGGAGGTGATGGAGGCGGCGGTTGGTTGGTTGGTTGGTGCAGGGGGATGGAGCTCTGAAGAGATCTGTGGAAATGCAGAGAGAGTGCAAGACACCAAGGCCGGACTACAAAGTGCAACAAATAATGGCAGTTCAAAATGTGAGAGGAGAGGAGAGGAGAGGAGAGGAGAGGAAGGATAGGGCTCCATGTAACCTGATGTGTCCCCCAGCAGTTTAAGCCTATAGCAGCATAGCTATAAAATGGATCAGGGCTACCTGAGCCAGCCCTAACTAAAAGCTCTCTCATAGAGGAAGGTCTTAAGCCTGGACTTAAATGTAGAAAGAGTGTCTGCCTCTCTGACCCATGGAGAGAGCTGGTTCCATAATAGAGGAAAAGGACACTAGGGACAGCACCTGCTGCATCTCATTTATCTGTGTTTGTATACACCACCATCACACACCTATGTTTACAGTGCACAATCAGGAAGCATGATGACATTGCAAAAAAAAAAAAAAAAAAAAAAAAGAAGAGGCTGGTAGGTTTTTGGATGAAGAGGAATTGATGTATCTTGTTTCATATTTTGCAATGAACAAAATTTGAGCTGGCACCATGGGCTGAGAACAACTGTACAAGTTTGGCATACAACACAGATATGTTAAAGTTAACTCTTCTTCAAATACAATGTCATTTGATATTGTGAAATATGAAAACAGTAGTGTGCATTGTTCTCCTGTCAGTGTTTTCAATGGGTCCTTTTCTCACACAGTGTCTCACATCAGCTCACCATCTCTGGCAAATTCTGCACAGTCATGCCAGGTTATGAGAGGATTAAATCACCTGAAGGAAATACAGCACCTGAGCAGGGACATCCAAAAACATATAGAGGGTGAGGGCAAGAGAGAGCAGCAGCCCCAGCTGAACAAACACTGCCTCAGAATTGTATTATTGACGCTACTGTCATTCACAGTTAAGTGGTAGGTTTTCTGTGGTCCCAGAGGTGCTTTTTCTTTCAATAAAGTATCATCAGAGGGCCGGTTGCTGTGTGGATTTACATTACGAATTCCTCCCTGACCCCGTCTGAGACTATTGACCCTGCTTGTACAATACCTGACATATTTTCTCCTGGCTGAGAGTGAGTGCTTCTTTCATGAAAATAACACGACTAAGCCTTTTTAAATGACAACTGTATGCTCTGACTGAATCCCCCCATTTTGGAATTTGCAGATATTGTTTTTGCTTCAAACTGGTTTAATGTAGCGTTTGTTCTCTTGGCGCCACACATTTTTAAGTTATCCAGCCATGTCTGAAGTAACTTCATAAGACCATGTCTTGAAAATGGAGCCCCTGGAGCTGGACAGGGACAATTTTGAGAGTACAGAGTACATGTGGTATACTGTGAGTGCAGTGGCAGAAATAGGCAGTATATTTAAAAAGCAAATCAAACATGCCGATCTTTGAAGACCTCAAAATAAAAGTTTCACATTAAGCCATACTGAAACATACAAAAACAAATGTGTGTCCACTGGAGAGCACTGGTTAATCCGTCATCTTTAAAGTTAAACTGTTTTATGGGTGTCTCTGCTTGTTTTAATCCCCTGGGTTATGCAGGGGAGGAAAGCTGTGTGCAGGTAAGAACCTGTTGAACGTCTGGTTCATAAGCCATCAGAGAAACAATTAAAACAGAGGTTAGCAGCAATCTCAGCCCCCAGCTCTTCCCGGATCACTCTTTTTCTTGGTTGAGCAGAAGTGAACTAGGAATAGTCAATAGCAAATCAAGAGTGACCACACCCAGCGACACAATGTAGTGGCACACCCTGGATCAACAGACTTTGAATTAGGTTGAAAATATATTTGGTGTCTGATGTGACAAATTGCAACCATATGCACGTCACTGAGAGGAGACAGCTGTGTTAAAAGATTGTTAAGGTGACACAGTTTTCATCTGGTAATTCATGTTATATTATGCCAATGGACATCAGCAAGGGGGGGGGTTCAAGAAGCTGAGATTTTTTTACTCCAATTCAGTAGAAAAAACAAAGATGAAGAAAACAAGAACACAAAACAACAAGAATACAAGATAACAATAGAAAAGATGACTCAAAGACGATGACTCATTTCAGATTACATGTATGACCCCATCATTGTATTGTTAACAATGTTACAAGTCGGAATTTATGGTATTTCCTCATATAATACAGAACCGGTCAAAGGCAAAAATCCCCCTGCAGTGACCTTTGAACTGAACTATCTATCCCACTATGATGATTTCTAGTACACAATGACCTGGCGTTGTTGGGCTGTCACTATGGAATGTAAACTTTCTATGGTGAGTCACAAATCTTTTAACACTGCAGGACTTATCTGCAGGAAGTATACACACACAGTAGTGAGTGGAATAAAACCATGAAACAGTACTCCTCAAAGGTGTGTGTTGTAATATTGCTTGACTCATCAGCAGTTTATTTCACAGTAATGGTCTATGTTTGACTTTTCTTACATGGTGAGGTTATGTCCATAAACAGAAATGATTATCAGATAAAATATTATAGTATGACCATATCTATTGTATCAGTGATGTTTTGGGTTGATGTTTCAATCTACAACCAAGCTCACATCTCTGTACTTTGACCTGGAAGCTAATGTTAGCATGTTAGCATGTTCACACTGACACTGCCAACACTGCCGACACTATTTTGGCCATAAATCAATGTAAACCATTTGTTTTGTAAATTTTCATGACAATCAATGTAAAAGTTGATGAGACATTTACTTATATTCACAGATGCTAGTCTTACAGTGGTGTGACATGAGAAGCAACATCATTTAATAACTATAGTTTTGGATCATCTGTATAAAATTGGAAATATCTATAATGACTATTAATTATGTGACTGGGGAGGAGTAGGAAGAACAGTAAAGGCCCAGTACTGATCCTTGAGGTGCAGCACTAGTAAGTAAATGCTGCATCGCCAGATTTCATGGCAAATTCACTGAAAGTTTCACAGCAGGCCAACATAATATCCATGATTTTCAAACCAAGCACAAGCAGTTTGGTGGCTGTCATTTTATATAATCTGCATAAAAATATATTTCATGTCTCCTGATTATAAGGCCAAGCTGAAGCAAATGGAGAACAGAACTGATGCATCACCAGCAAGTTCTGTTGATGTGGAAATTAAGCTGTTTTAAGATAAATGAAT